TACCGAGAAAGCAAAACCCGCTGAAAATTTTACGAATTGTTTTTCAGTTGGATTTCTTGGTAAACATGTTTTCAATTGAACTGTGCCGACCCGATCACGTATTCTTAATATTGATACAATAATCATTACGATGGACGGGTGCTGACATTTTTATAGATTCCAAGTTCTCCAGCTGCATGATGAGAAAAAAAAAAGTGATTGGAGGGGGATCTCTCGCTAGGTAAATGAGATCTTTATAGCTTATAAGGAATCTCCTTCCCAATACAGAGCTCATTTGATTCTGTGACGTGAGTGTTAAAGTGCTCTGCCTTTGTGATGTCTGTTGATGCTGACCAACCAACAAGCAATAGAATTTCAAATTGTGAAGTGATCACAATTCGTCAATTTATTCAAAAGTTGGAAACTTCGGAGAGGATGAAGCGAGATTTGCAATGGGATGCAATTGAGTCGATCAGCTCGTCAGATGGAGAGTCAGAGAATGGAAACTTTACTGACAGTGATGATGATGATGCTGATGCTTGGGATGCTTGGGATGCTTCTACCCCATTAGATACCGACACCATCTCACCTGATGTCAGTGAAAACGTGGATCCTTCGCCGGAGAGTCCAGCGGCTGTGGAGAAGGGCATTGTAGACTCTCCAGCAAGCCCAGACTTCGAGTCTCCAGAGAGCCCAGCGGCTGTGGAGAAGGGGATTGTAGACTCTTCAGCAAGCCCGGACATCGAGTCTCCAGAGAGCCCAGCACCCGAGGAGAAAGGACTTGTAGACTCTCCAGCAAGCCCAGATCCAGAGTCTCCGGAGAGCCCAGCACCTGAGGAATCTGATTCAATGGAGATGGATCCACCTGATTCTACTGTATCAGAGGTAGCACCAGTGATTCTAACGAATTTGGGGCTGCACCACCACCTATTTCAGCGGAAGACACAGAACCATTTGTTCGAGTGGGGGAAGTTGTTTGCCCACCAGCAGATGAGTTGGAACCTGTTCGAATTTTCATACCCGAAGAATGGGAAGGTGTGATGCCGGAAAGGGCTATGAAGAAAAAGCTGAGAGAAATCATTAATCGGCATTATAAAGTTGGTGGAACTTTTGTGACAATGGGAGATGTTCGAGCCAAGCTGATCTTCTGTCCTCATAGAAATATTTACTCTCGACCAATGGGATCATTTACACATCCCAAGTGATTGTCAATCAATATTAAAATCTATCCAGAGGTAACTTAATAACAAAATTCTACCATCGTATCAATCCACCAGCTCAATCATTAATTTCTTTCATTTTTTTTTGTCTGTTTCAGTTGTAATTTCCGAGGGTAAAATTATTTTGAAAAAGTATCTGCTACCATCTCACAATTAAACAATGAAAAATTTTATTACTTGCGTTCCATTATTTTTTTAAATTAATCAAATTTAAATGTTCAACTAAAAAAATTGGAAAATACGATTGTAATAATCTATGCTTTGAAAACTCTGTAAAATTATTTCGTAAAATATCTATGCATATATACAGGGTGTCCCAGAAGTACGTCCCGATAATTAACCGGCATGTACAGGGGGTGAGTCTGACCCAAAAAGTCCCTTACCACTTTGGATCGGAAGCACCCCTCCGGAGATACTGGGGTAAACAGGACAGCCAATGACGCTGCCGCGTTAAGCGGCAGTACGTCGGTGTGGCTGTCGCGCTCGAGTGTGAGGGATTCCCCTTCGAGCCAGAAGGAGGCGGGATCGCGTTGCACCTTCACCCGTGAGCGTGAGAGAGAAGTCATGGTATTCTCTCTCACTCTCTCGCTTCACTCCGCGGCAATGTTCTTGCGGTTATCTTTTAAACAATTGGGTTTTTGGCATTTTTCCATTGATTATTATTTGTTGCAAATTGAATCTGCAACAAAAAACATCTGTTTAAAGTAGACATGAGAAAACGCCCCCCAACCCAAACGACAATTAGTCGATGAATTTCGGACACTTCCGGGGTTCATCGGTA